AAAATTTTTTTTTTTTTTTTTTTTTTTTTTTTTTTTTTTTTGTATTTGGTGTGCGTTTGAAGAGGAGTCGTCTTATACGACGATGAAAGCACAACAAAATATATTTTAACAGGAAAAGTAGGGCGTCGTCTTATATGACCAGTCGTCTTATACGCCGGAAAATACAATAGGTCGTCCTTTTGAATCTGTGATGCCTTTAAATATATTTGTACAGCTGTAAAGAGTTTTTGTTAAAACGTATGCGATCACAAAACCATACAGAAACATGTCCTGTGGGGAAAGGAATATATTCAGCTAAAGTAAATAAAAGTACAGTTATTTAAATATATTTTCACACTAATTAAACACTATTTTATCCTAGTAGAGGAAGAGAGTCTATGTCTGGAATACGATTTTTGTCCCTGCTGTAGGCCTAATTACCATAAAGTTATTAAATGGTGTCATTCCTTTAGCTAATACGAATAAAGTAGCATTTCTCCTGCATTAGTTGATAAAAAAAAGTAGTCAAGGTTCTCATGTTAATAAAATGAAAGTAGCAACAGTTCTCTTGCATTTAGGCGGTGAAGCAGCCATTACATTGCACTCGATGATGGTCTCTCTTGAGTCACCCTCTAGGGAGTCAATACTGAGAAGCGAGAAATATAAGTCTTATGTGGATGGACTTGCACCCCGTTCAAAACAATTGAAACATAATCATGTCCGCTCAGGATTACATAAAAAATAAAAAATTTAATATTTAAAATTTTATAAAAGAACTATGACGGCAGGGAAAAAAAAAGATATACACATATAAAATTATATTTGCAATCACATACTTTTTTATTACTTTTGATATAATTATGATTTATAAAGATGTTAATAAAATTGTATACCTCAAGATGTAGAAAAATGTACTTGGTTTACATGATACTCATTTTATATCATTAACACTGGCTAAATACTTCCATGTTCTTAAAAAAAAAAAAAAAATTATGAAAAGGAATTACAATTAGGCTTTTATAAATCCCAAATAAAAATAAATACCATTGATATTTTACGTCATCAATTTCAAAGCATTAAGAGATTATTTTTTTTTTTAATAATTAAAAATTATAAAGATGTTAATAAAATTGTATACCTCAAGATGTAGAAAAATGTACTTGGTTTACATGATACTCATTTTATATCATTAACACTGGCTAAATACTTCCATGTTCTTAAAAAAAAAAAAATTATGAAAAGGAATTACAATTAGGCTTTTATAAATCCCAAATAAAAATAAATACCATTGATATTTTACGTCATCACTTTCAAAGCATTCAGAGATTATTTTTTTTTTTAATAGTTAAAAGTATGCCATAAGAAAATGCAAGATTTAAGCAGGAAAATATTGGCTTTGGACAATTCAACACAAAACACAATTGGTGCATGCTGGCTGACGGTTCTTTCAGAATTGGGTCACACCAAGTACTGCAAACAGGCAGCTAGCTATGAACTTAAGGGTAACCTTATTGGTCGGCGCCATATTCATATTTTTGGTATTTCCATATTTCTGAAAAGAAGTGATTTAAAAAAAAACAACACATTTTAAAAAAACTTTCATTAGAATATTTTGTTACAACCGTAAAATGTATACTAATAAAAATTAAATTTAAACCATTTAAAAGATCGATTGAAGCACTTAAATCGTATGTTTGTTTTTCTATTGCTTTTAGTAAAATAAACTTTGTTTGAGATTAGAAAAAACATCACCGCATCTAGTTATAGTGTGAGGGTTACCCCCCCACCCTCTCCTTGTCTCATTGTCGTGGGGAATTTACACTATTTATAGAATGGTCTCAAAAATGTTGCCTAATTCATAAAGCAGTGAATAAAACTTTAACCTAGTATTTAAATTTTTTTATTCAATACAATAGAAAAGTTTTTTTTTTAAATTAATAATTTTTTGGATAAATGATGAGATCAATCGGATTTGAAACGAATTCATCTTGACTTTGTTATTGGTTTTAACAATTTTTTTTTATTTCTACAGACAAGGAGACCATTGAATTATTTTTTGAATAGTTGCTTTTATATTATTTGTCTCTTCTGCAGAGGCTCATTACTAAATATAATATCTTAAAATTAAGTGGTGATATTATCCATTTATCTAATTTACTTAAAATGCATTTTCAGAATAAAAGTAATTGTAAATTCATTTATTTTGTAAGTGAGATTTAGTAATACTCGCCCAGTCTGTACTTACAAATAAGCAGATTTTTTTTTTACTTTGCTTTTGAAGATTTTGTTTTTCGCAAAGTATATCCTAATATTAAATCAAAGAATTGTATTATCTTGTTTTATGTGTTTTACCCTTTTTGTAGTTTATTAATATTCTCTCTCTCTCTCTCTCTCTCTCTCTCTTTTATGTGTTGTGCCCTTTGTAGTTTATTAATATATTCTTTTATGTGTTGTGCCCTTAGGAGTTTATTAATATTATCTCTCTTTTATGTGTTGAGCCCTTTGGAGTTTATTAATATTCTCTCTTTTGTATGTGTTGTGCCCTTTGGTGTTCAAGTCAAATTCGAAGAAACATTTTTAAATAAAAAACATTTTAGTGCTCTAATTTTTTCAAATGTTTATATTATTCAGTGTCGTTTGATTGTGTCAGGTATGCTAATTTGATATGAAGACTACTATTTTCTTCACTTCGTAAGCAATTTCAAACATATAGGATGTCATTTATTAATTTTTTTGGTATATTTTGATACATTTACACAAATTTGTAAAATGTTTGATATAAATTACCACCCCTTGGCTATTTTGCTATTTTTCACACATGTAATGGTCTAAATTACTTCTTGTTTGCTTACTTTTATAGATCTTTGATTCTCTTTTAAATTGATAAAAATGTAAAAAATAGGTCGTTTTTGTGAATTTTTGCCTTTTTTGTAAAAATTTGAAAATTTTACAAGTTGGCATTTTACGACAATAAATTACAATACATGTCATTTGATTTCCCATATTTTGAAAAAAAAAGTGTGTTTGTTTTCTGTAAAGTATTGCGCAAATATTTTAAAGAAAATAAGTGCAGGTGACTCTACATTTTAAGATAATAACTCGTGAATATGGGTCTTTGTCATTTCATAAAAGGTAAGCAGAGAAACATAATTAAAATAGCACAAATTTCTTAATAATGGCTAAAAAATCATACATATTTATGGCACCATTCTGAGAGTTCTTAGATCTTTCATCTTAAACACTCAGAAATGTTTTTGGTTTAGTTTGAAAAATTAGTTTGGAGAACATACTTACATCACGAAATCTACCTCCGAAATGGCCAAATTCCCTAACGGCTAAAGAATGAGAATAACTTTATTTTATTAATATTATATAATCTTACGAATGAAGACAGAATGGTGATATAAGACAGTGTAATAAACAATGTTAGGTATGGTGATATGAGACACTGTAAAAAAGAATATGAGGTATGTTGCTTTGAAAAAGAGTAATAAACAATGTGACGTATGTGTGACAATGTAATATGGAACAGTAATATAAAGCACGTAAGGTAGGGTGATATGAGACATCAATTTAAAGAATGTGAGGTAGAAGACAGTAATGTAAAGACTGTGAGGTATGATTATAAAAGACAGTATTATTAAGAATGCGACTCATGGTGCATGAGAAACAGAGCAGTAAACAAAGTGAGCAATGTTGATATCAGACACTGTAATAAGGGATGTAAGGTATGGTGATATGAGACAGTATATTAAAAAAGTGAGTTATTGTGATAAAAACAATGTGAGGTAATGTGACTGAAGACAGTAATATAAAGAATGTGACATACAGTGATATAAGACAGTATAATAAAGAATATGCGGTTTGGTAATATGAGACAATATCATTAGGAATGTGAGGTATGGTAAAATGATACTGTGTAACAAACAATGTGAGGTATGATGATTTGAGACAGCAAGATAAAGCATGTAAGGTATTGTAAAATGAGACAGTGTAATAAGGAATGCCAGGTATGATAATATGAGACAGTCTAATAAAGAATATTAGGTATGATGATATGAGACAGTGTCATAAAGAATGTGAGGTATGGTGATAAGAGGCAGTGTAAAAATAATGTTAGGTATTGTGATATGAGACAGTGTTATAAAGAATTTGGCACATAGTGATATGTGCCAGTGTGATAAAGAATGCGACGTATGGTGATATGAGACAGTGTGATTTAACAATTGGAGCGAGCGGCGGTAGTAGACGGTGAAGTGACAAATTGTTTGTTTGAATTTTAGTGACATCGCGATGAAATGAACAATGATGATTTTTGCAGTAAGAGATTACGTGATGAAATGAATAAAGATAGTATTTGCATTAGAGACACCGTAAAGAAATGAACAATGGCGGCTTTTGCAGTAAGCAACAGCGTGATGCAAACTGTGAGGTGTCGCATTAGAAGAGAGCGTGAAGAACAATTGAAGCTAAGGCCTTAGGCGATAGCATGACGACGAATGTCAGGTGTGGTGTCAGAAGAAAAACGTATATATATATATGACGCTAGAGATACAAGGGTGGCACTGCGTGTGTTTAAAGCATGTTGAACAATGGGAGATAGGGTTTTGTGAGCTAATATGATGACCAATGTAAGGTATGGATTGAGCAGATTGCGTCGTGACATGAATATATGGAATGGCGTGAGCAAAAAAATGTGATGAACAATGTGAGGTGATGAATGGCCTTTTGGAGACATGGGGAATAAATGGACAGTGTGAAGGCGGTCGTTATGACATCGCGTGGTGAACAATGAGGGGTTCAGCGTTAGAGGGCAACTTGATGAAATGATCATGGGGAAAATTTTGCGTAAAGTTACAGCGTGGTGTGCATTAGGAGGAATGATGATAAAAGACAAGGTCGTGAAATCAACAACGGGATTGATGCAGTTAGGACACATCGCAATAAACAATGGGAGATGTGACGTTAAAAGGCTGTGTAAGACACACTGAGAGGTTCAACGCTGGAAGACAATGTACTAAAATGAGCAATGGGAGGTATTTGTTTTTTTAGGAACAATTTACGATGGGACATTTGGCTTAAAGAGACAGCGCGGTGGTAAACAATGGAAAATAAAGCAAGTTGTGATGTTTCGGGCTAGCAGAGAGAGTAATGAAATGAACAATGTGAAGTATGGCGTTAGGATACTGCGTGAGGAACACATTTATCATTGGAGTTTGGAGACGCTGATTCAAGATACGACCTAAAGAGGCGGCATCATGAAATGAGCACAAAGTGTATTAGCGAAGTTAGGGTAGACAGCTAGCTGAACAAAGGGAGATATAATAGTATTAGAAACACACGATGGCAAGATATGGCGTTATAAGCTGGCGTGGTGAACATAGCAACAGGAAGTCTGGCGCAAGGAGTCAGGTTCATGCACGGTATTGGGTGTGGCGCTAAGACATGGTGTCAAGAAACGATCAGTTGAAGGTATTGTATTAGGAGACAAAAAATGAAATAAACAATGTGAGGTAAAGAGCTTTTTTTTTGGGGGGGGGAGGGGGGGAGGGGGGGCAGGGGTTGTTATGACGAGACTGTTTGTTGGGAAAATGTAATGTATTTCAAAAGGGGAAAATGATGATGATGACATGAACAATGCCAATAAGGCGTTAGGGCACAACGTTATGAAAAATAACAGGTACGGCGCTAGGAGACAGCGTCAGGAAACGAACAATGGAAGGCATTGTTTTGGGAGATGAAATGAACAAGTTTGGCGATCGGGGACAGGGTCACAAATAAACATAGGGAAGTGTGGCGTAAGCAGACTGTTTGTTAAAAAAATAGAAAGCGTTGCGGGAAAATCCAATGTGATGAAATTTTTAACAAAGGTCATTTGGAATCGTGATAGAGAAAGGGTTATTTGGCATCGTGATGAAGAAAGGAAGATTTGGCATCGTGATGGTGAAATGGGGATTTGGCAGTAGAAGAAAGTGCTTGAAATCAATGAGAAAGATTGATGAAATGAACAATGGGATGTGGGGCGTTATGAGAAATTGGGATGAAATGAACAATGGGATGTGAGGCGTTATGAGAAATTGGATTAACATGAACAACGGGATGTGGGGCGTTATGAGAAATTGGGATGAAATGAACAATGGGATGTGGGGCGTTATGAGAAATTGGGATGAAATGAACAATGGGATGTGAGGCGTTATGAGAAATTGGGATGAAATGAACAATGGGATGTGAGGCGTTATGAGAAATTGGGATAACATGAACAACGGGATGTGGGGCGTTATGAGAAATTGGGATGAAATGAACAATGGGATGTGGGGCGTTATGAGAAATTGGGATGAAATGAACAATGGGATGTGAGGCGTTATGAGAAATTGGGATGAAATGAACAATGGGATGTGAGGCGTTATGAGAAATTGGGATAACATGAACAACGGGATGTGGGGCGTTATGAGAAATTGGGATGAAATGAACAATGGGATGTGGGGCGTTATGAGAAATTGGGATGAAATGAACAATGGGATGTGAGGCGTTATGAGAAATTGGGATGAAATGAACAATGGGATGTGAAGCGTTATGAGAAATTGGGATGAAATGAACAATGGGATGTGAGGCGTTATGAGAAATTGGGATAAAATGAACAATGGGATGTGAGGCGTTATGAGAAATTGGGATGAAATGAACAATGGGATGTGAGGCGTTATGAGAAATTGGGATGAAATGAACAATGGGATGTGGGGCGTTATGAGAAATTGGGATGAAATTAACAATGGGATGTGGGGCATTATGAGAAATTGGGATGAAATGAACAATGGGATGTGGGGCGTTATGAGAAATTGGGATGAAAAATGAAAATGGGATGTGAGGCGTTATGAGAAATTTGGATGAAATGAACAATGGGATGTGGGGCGTTATGAGAAATTGGGATGAAATGAATAATGGGATGTAGTGTGTTATGAGAAATTGGGGTGAAATGAACAATGGGATGTGAGGCAATATGAGAAATTGGGGTAAAATGAACAATGGGATGTTGGGCGTTATGAGAAATTGGGATGAAATGAACAATGGGATGTGAAGCGTTATGAGAAATTGGGATGAAATGAACAATTTGATGTGGGGCGTTATGTGAAATTGGGGTGAAATGAACAATGGGATCAAGGGCGTTATGAGAAATTGGGGTGAAATGATCAATGGGATGTGAGGCGTTATGAGAAATTGGGATAAAATGAACAATGGGATGTGGGGCGTTATAAGAAATTGGGAAGAAATGAACAATGGGATGTGAGGCGTTATAAGAAGTTGGGATGAAATGAACAATGGGATGTGAGGCATTATGAGAAATTGGGGTGAAATGAACAATGGTATGTGAGGCGTTATGAGAAATTTGGATGAAATGAACAATGGGATGTGGGGCGTTATGAGAAATTGGGATGGAATAAACAATGGGATGTGGGGCGTTATGAGAAATTGGGATGAAATGAACAATGGGATATGGGGCGTTATGAGAAATTGGGGTGAAATGAACAATGGGATGTAGGGCGTTATGAGAAATTGAGTTGAAATGAACAATGGGATGTGAGGCGTTATGAGAAATTGGGATGAAATGAACAATGGGATGTGAGGCGTTATGAGAAATTGGGATGAAATGAACAATGGGATGTGAGGCGTTATGAGAAATTGGGATGAAATAAACAATGGGATGTGGGGCGTTATGAGAAATTTGGATGAAATGAACAATGGGATGTGGGGCGTTATGAGAAATTGGGGTAAAATGAACAATGGAGTGTGAGGCGTTATGAGAAATTGGGATGAAATGAACAATGGGATATGGGGCGTTATGAAAAAGAGTGATGAAATAAACAATGGGATGTGTGGCGTTATGAGAAATTGGGATGAAATGAACAATGGGATGTGGGGCGTTATGAGAAAGAGTACAGAAATGAACAATGGGATGTGGGGCGTTATGAGAAATTGGGATGAAATGAACAATGGGATGTGAGGCGTTATGAGAAAGAGTAATGAAATGAACAATGGGATGTGGGGCGTTATAAGAAATTGGGATGAAATGAACAATTGGATATAGGGCGTTATGAGAAATTGGGATGAAATGAATAATGGGTTGTGGGGCGTATGAGAAAGAGTAATGAAATGAACAATGGGATGTGGGGCGTTATGAGAAATTTGGATGAAATGAACAATGGGATGTGGGGCGTTATGAGAAATTGGGATGAAATGAACAATGTGATGTGGGGCGTTATGAGAAATTGGGATGAAATGAACAATGGGATGTGGGGCGTTATGAGAAATGGGGATGAAATGAACAATGGGATGTGGGGCTTTATGAGAAAGAGTAATGAAATGAACAATGGGAAGTGAGGCGTTATGAGAAACAGTGATGAAATGAAATGTCTTTATGGACTAGTGTGATGAAGTGAAAAATGAGAGTTAAGGTTTTGCAGATAATTTGATGAAAGAAATAATGAGAGTCATATGGTCATGAATAATGAAAGGCATTTGGGAACAATGAAAGAAGATTAACACTGCAATTCAAATGTGACTCAAATTTAGTGAGGATTTTGGTTTCTTGGAATTTAACCGACAAACTAAAATAGAGCGTAAGTCTCAAAGTTATTTAGTGTTTTCCAATAGTACATTTTAAGGTAATGAATTGTTTTCCAAAAGCAAACAATACAAACGATTTGTTGCAGCCATGTACAATTTGTCATGGTCTACTTGAATCTTATTCTCACCACCTGCTTCCTAGTTTCTCAATTTGTCATGGTCTACTTGAATCTTATTCTCACCACCTGCTTCCTAGTTTCTCAATTTGTCATGGTCTACTTGAATCTTATTCTCACCACCTGCTTCCTAGTTTCTCAATTTGTCATGGTCTACTTGAATCTTATTCTCACCACCTGCTTCCTAGTTTCTCAATTTGTCATGGTCTACTTGAATCTTATTCTCACCACCTGCTTCCTAGTTTCTCAATTTGTCATGGTCTACTTGAATCTTATTCTCACCACCTGCTTCCTAGTTTCTCAATTTGTCATGGTCTACTTGAATCTTATTCTCACCACCTGCTTCCTAGTTTCTCAATTTGTCATGGTCTACTTGAATCTTCATGGTCTACTTGAATCTTATTCTCACCACCTGCTTCCTAGTTTCTCAATTTGTCATGGTCTACTTGAATCTTATTCTCACCACCTGCTTCCTAGTTTCTCAATTTGTCATGGTCTACTTGAATCTCATTCTCACCACCTGCTTCCTAGTTTCTCAATTTGTCATGGTCTACTTGAATCTTATTCTCACCACCTGCTTCCTAGTTTCTAATTAAAATGCTGTGCATTGCTGGTCTAAATGTTTGTATTAATCCAACACTGTTTATATAGTTGCATTCAAATAACGTGGCTTGTATTAATTAGAATAAGATTAAACTTTGAATCTATTCACCTTCGATTCTTGCTGAAGCTCCCTGTATCAGATCATCGCGTAGAGTGTCTTCCCCTGGTTTGCACTTGAAACTTGATAAGCACTTTGTCATCTCGTCTACCCTTTTTCTGGAAAATATTAACAATAAATTTAGTCATGGATACATTAAAAAGGTTTTTTTTTAAAAATGATTGTGTACGTCGGGTGCCCATGGAAACAGACAAACGTAAAAATGTATTCTAGTTTATTATGTAATATAAATAGGTATGCTCTAACCAAAAATCTTTTGAAATTCTTACACTACAGTCAGGTAACTTTAAGTAACACTCTGACCATCTGATGCAATGTATGAAGTGAAGGCACCAAAGCCAGACGTGCATTTTAAAATTGAGTCTCAACGGTTCCAAAACTCCTAGGACACCGCGACACCGAAAAATGTTTCATTTTCATCATTATGCACGAGACAACTAATCAAAAAGTTACTTTTGGAGTACATCGTTTTAAAGCTCTTTAGTATAGTATCTCCTCACGTTCAAACACCATCTCCTCTTCTTATATATATCATATAATCGTGTTTAAACGAAATCTAAGCTTGATTGACTATCATCTACTCTTCTCAAAGTAGTGTCTAGTCTATTCTTAATCTTTAAAAAAAAAATAAATAAAAAACATTTAACCATACATTTCATCCATCTCATTAAATGACCCTTTCTTGCACTCTGCGATTCTCTCAAAGCAGTTTTCAACCGCATCCTGGCACAGAACTGTGGTCACTGTGGAGATAAAGAGCGAGTTTACCCTTGAGAAACAAATCCACTTCTCCGTGCACTTTGTGGTTTAAACTAAAATGGTCAGTCATATTACAATGTTTAGTTCAATGGTGTACTTGGCTATGTCTTCAAACTAAATCCATTAAATGCAAACTGTTATGTAACAGCGCTAGTCCAAGTATTTTTTATTATATAGAAAGTTAAAATCTGTTATGCCATTACTGCAGAGACGTAGCGTGATGGGGGCAGGGGGGCAGATGTCCCCGGGCGCCAAAATGTGCTTTGATATTATTTTATTGATGAAAATAATGGGTTTTAGAGTTGAAAAAAAGAAAAAGGGGCGCTAAAAATAGATCTTGTCCCCGGGCGCGAATCTTGTCCCCGGGCGCCAAACACCCTCGCTACGCCACTGCATTACTGTACAACACAAATAATACCAATAAATGATCCTATTATTTTAGTTTTTTTTTATTGAGCGATTCTCATAGCTTCTCCAGGAATTCGTAACTTGGTTTCAATGTCAGATATTTTTTTCTTACCATTTATTACACATTTAAGTCGCTAAAAATTGTGCGTAAATTGACTGGTGATTGTGAATATTGGGTGTAAAATGACTGGTCATTGTGTATATTGGGTGTGAAATGACTGGTCCTTGTGTATATTGCGTGTGCTATAAGGTTATTTTTGAAAATCGAGTTAAGGTTGGAGTCTTGAAACCCTTTTCCCATGGAACAAGAAACGAGGAAATGTATGAATGAAGGTGAATTGGGCTCAATTTAGTCTCTTTAATCAATATGATAAGTGAATGTTAAATTGAAGTGAGTCTTTCCTGTCTGTCAAAAGGGTTTTCTGAGAACATAAACAATATATATACAATTTAATTTATAAATTAGTCTATCGTGGAAATTAAAGCACTGGTATTGAAAGGTAAAGGATCCATGGACCAAAGAGAATCAAAGAACACGTGACGCCGATAGTTCCGAAAGTATATAATAAAGATCGGGGAGGTTAGTGAAGAGACCGATAGTCTTAGGAAAAGTGTTATTGGATTGAACTTCACAGAGCGTTTTGAAAAGAAAGAAGAAAAAAAAAGAAGATTACAACGATCTAAAATATTTAGATAATAAGACTCTTGGTGGATTCACTAATGGTAACAACTTTTTTTTTTTTAAATTTTAAATTTTATACAATATCTTCCGAGTAGATGCTGTCCGCCTCATTGAGCAAGTTGATGCGATCTCATTCACTGTTTTTTTTCCGTACAAGGCACCAAATGCACACAAAAAGAACACATTATAGAGACTCACCTGCTAAACATGAGATTGCCAGAAGCCCCCACAGAGCCGTTGAATGCATCCTACAGCTTGATTCTTTCCGTGGTCACTGACAACAAGATGAAATAGAGTGACGTATTCTTCGTCAGCCAGCGGTTTGACGCAACCTAATTTGAGACAAAGTTGAGACTTAACAAAGTTAAGACTTAACAAAGTTGAGACTTAACAAAGTGTCACCAGAGGGCTTGTTTCATGCTTGGTTTTCTAGCCAATGAAAATCTATGTCACCTTTGAGATGTCACATAAACCATTGACCATTTTTTGCTACAAATATTTACCTACGTTTTTTGCTGTGATGTTTTTTAGCTGTTAGCTACACAAATCTAAATATAGAAAGGGAGGCATGCTTAAAGTATCGTGACCAAATCATGACCTGGAAAAAATGGGACACACCCAAGGAGGGTTTGGGGGGGGGGAGAAACACTCCAGATAAAGATGGATCCGGGGGCATCCGCCGGAAACTGTTTAATAAAATATGCTCCTTTTAACTATTTTAAGACCTAGAAATCTTTTAAATTTACCTTCCCTTTGTAATTTATTTTAAACTCTGATGGATATCATAAACGAAAATAATAACTTTTCAAGGATATTTATTCATTTATACATATTTTACAACATAATACAACGCAACAAATTAAATATCATTAGTCTAGGATTTAAATTGAGAATAGTTGGCTGTTGTCTCAGTCCCAGCCATTGTTAAACCTCCTTCTTATATAATATAAAGTTTTTAACACTAGAACAGAAAAGTGTGTTTCTCTATAGAAACGGGACATTTAGGCGTCCCGAGACACGTTTTCGGAACACCGGGTACGATCGTGAAAAAACTGGACAATCCCGTTTTTACGGGAATGTTTGGTCACATTAGTTTAAAGGGATTTTATTTTTTTTTTCATGTGGTAAATTCGTGCTCTGTTGATATAAATAAAGTTACTCCAATTGTAACTAGTATAGATCAAAACATTGCGATTGCATAAATTATACATCATTGTCGAAATCAAGTTGTCCATTATAGCTAAGAATTTATTGATCAAGACTTACTTGTATGGGAATTTAGTTGAGGCCAATCATTGACGTGTTCTTTAAATACAAACATGTACCTGTTCGTAACAATATGTCCTACATATTCTTACTCATTATTCAATTACATGGCAACATAAATAATCAATTAAATGACGTCATGACACGTCTTCTTTGCATTAGCCAATTAAACTTTTGTGAGTGGTGGATTTTTAAAGGAAAACAAATTATATATATTATTTTTAAAATTCTGAATATAATGTTATGCATTGGAAAGTTTTTTAAAATTTATTTCTTTTAAATTTTTTTGTTAATTTCTATCAATTATATTTAGTTATATTCCTAAAATTAAATAACATATCACTTACCGAAAAAAAAATTAATTGGTGTTCATAGTTTAGGTTTTTAAAGGAAAGAAAATAACGGAAGTGTCCTATCGTTTTGTGCTAAATAACTCGTCATTGCGTCATCATTCTATGTGTATTGCTCTTTTATGTCTCCGGTATTCATCGCAGTCCATCTCTACGCAACACATCAAATTATTCTTTACATGGTTCCCATTGTTCATGACGCTGTCTTATAACGCCATATCTCTGATTTTCCATTTCATTACTCAGTATTGTAACGGCTTATGTCTCATCGCTTATCCGGCTGACTCGCAATGCCACACCTCTTAACAACTCTTGTTATTTGTACACAATTTCTTCTAACGCAAAACCTCCCATTATTTATTGCAGCCAGTGTTTCCTTCAGGCATAGTTCCCCGGGGGGGGGGGCATCTAAGGTTTTCTGGGGGTAGGAGTTCCAGTGGGCAGTGGCCAGAGACGTGGCTAAGGGGTGTCCGATTGGAAAAACATCACGTAGCACCAGACTAGAAGGGGCGCCAAAATAGGTTTTGCTGGTATTAATGGGAAAAAAAATTTGTTTCAAAGTTAAGGTGTGAGGGGCATAAAAATAAATCACGTCCCTGACACCAAACACTTTGGCTACGCCCCTTCCAATGGCTTAGTAATGAGGAGGAGGATGTTATTCATCCACATATCACTTTTATAAAACATATTATTTGTGTATATATTATCTTTGCGACAAGTAAAGTGATGTATTTTGTAATTAGATTTTTAACATTTCTGTATTTTTAAAAAAAATACACTTAAATCTGTTACAGACGTGAAAAACGGTTAAGAGATTCTCCCTTCTATAAAGAATTCTTTGTTTTAAGATTTTATGATAATAAAATAGAAAACAAAGGCAAAAGTTTGGTTACATTTTAAATAAATAGGGGAGGGGCAGGAGAAATGGGCCACCAAATGAACATCAGTCAAAGAATGCAGCTGGTATAAACAAATAGAAAGGCATAGCCATAACATTTGGCTTATTAATAGCCAGTTCAAATGTGCACTTAAAAACTTAATTTGACATATCGTTGATAGTTTTTGTGAAATTCAAAAGAAACTGATGACTATGTAGGTTGGGAGAAATGGACATAGTGAAGGGAGAAATGGACCACCATATTGGGAGAAATGGTCAGCTAACTAAAAAGTGGTTAAAACAAATTAATAGTTTTCCCTATTTTTTATTAGTTTTCTCTCTGTTGTGTTGCAATGCACTATACAATAATATGTAATGTAATTAAAAAGATATGCAAAGCAATTTTACATTTTATTTTTATGTATATTTATTGAACATAACCATGAAGAAAAAATGTACTTTGAGCAAAAAAAAAAAACCACAGATTTATTTAACAATTAAAGAATTCAGGTTTTCTTTAAAGAAAAATCTATCTGTAGCCCTAGCTGTCCCTGTCTTTTATAATTTTGTAATTTTGCATTTTAAGTCTTTAATAGGCACATAGGCAAAGTCTTCTAAGTGTGGTCTTCTAAATTTGCCAGTCACTTTCTCAACTTTTCTTTAAAATTCTACTTCCACATCCCCATCTGGATCAAACTTCCTTTCTCACAACAGCCACATAAAACAACACTGACCATTTTACACTCTACTCACGCAGCACAGAATCATCTTTCAGAACTTCTTCAACACCATTCATTTTAACACAATTCGTTGTCAAGTCTTTACAGTCTGAAATAAAGTAATCTAAATCATCATTGCTTATCAGGTCAAAGTCCATGTCAGAGTCACTATCGTCACTTTCAAATAATTGCTTTGCCTGTAATTTTAAGGGACGTGACACCTTTTTGTCTTTAATCAGCTTATCTTGCTACAATTTTTTTTTCAGAGGTTGATGTGGTAATCCATGATTGTCTTTTCTTTCTTGTATTATTTTTAATGGGTCCTGCTTTAGGGTAGCCTCGATAAATCTCATGTGACCTAAACACTGATGGGTTGTGGTGTGAAGACTGGTGCAGTTGCAAGGGACAAGATGATGTGGCCTGGCTACCTAAGGAACACGCAGCTAGAGACGGTGTTTTAGCTGGATCTTGTCTGTATGTTATAGCACAAGGCATTAAGTCTATCTGTGTAAATGTCTTTATTAAGAGGCCGAAATCCGCTGGCTTGGGAACCAGAACATATATTTGATGAGATCGCTGCTTTGACGCAGGCCTCATCACCAAGTTCAGCAAATTATTAAATTGTGATTGGTTTTCCTACATTTCTAGGCATCCACAAATCAGCTGAAGCATTGAATTAGAGACCGACTGAATTTCGGCTTCGGTTTCGGCGCCGAAAGTGGTCATTTTATTACTTTCGGCCAAGTTTCGGTTTCGGCAGAAACTCAAAGTTAAATTTTGGCTTAATTTCGGTTTCGGCCGAAAGAGAAAAGTTAACTTTTTTTTCGGTTTCGGCCGAAATTGACTTAGACTTTTGGCCATCCGGCCGAAAGTGACTGAGATTTTCCGCATCTAATACTCAGTGAAAGCGGTATTTAACAACAAACTAAGCGACATTTAAGAACAAACTAAGTGATCTTTAAGAACAATCTAAGCGATCTTTAATAAAAAAAACTAAATGATCTTAAAGAACAAACTAAGCTATTTTTAAGAACGAAATAAATTATCTTTAATAACAAAACAAATGATCTTTAATAGTAAACTAAATAATTTATAAGAATAAACTAAGCGATCTTTAATAGAAAACTAAATTATCTTTAGAAACAAACTAAAAGATCTTTAAGAACAAACTAATCGGTCTTAAGGAACAAAATCAATTACCTATAAGAACAAACTAAGCGATCATTATGAAAAAACTAAGTGATTTTCAACAACAAAATAAGCGATCTTTAAAAACAAACTAAACGATTTTTAATAAAAACTAAAAGATCTATAAAAAAAACTAAATTATCTTTAAGAACAAACTGAATGATCTTTAAGAACAACTAAGCCATATTTAAGTACAAATCAATGATCTTAAAGAACAAACTAAGCGATCTTTATGAACAAACTGAACGATCTTTAAATAACACAAACTAAGCAATCTTTAAGATAAAACTTAGCTATCTTTTTTGAAAAACTAAATGATCTTTAATAACAAAATAAAAGATCTTAAGACAAAAACTAAGCGATCATTAAGAACAAACTAAGCAATCTTAAAAAAAACAAATAAACATTTTTTAGCAACAAACTAAGCGATCTTTATGAACAAACTAAACGATCTTTTAATGACACAAACTAAGCGATCTTTAAGAAAAAAAATTGGGATCTTTTTTGAACAAAATAAATTATCTTTAATAACAAACTAAAAGATCTTTAAATAAAAAATATGCGATCTTTAAGAACAAACTAAGCCATCTTAAAAAACAAAATACACGATTTTTAACAACAAACTAACCGATCTGTAAGAACAAATAAAGCGATCATTAATAAAAAGCTGAACGATCTTTAACAACAAACTAAGCGATCTTTAAGAACAAACTAAACGATCTTTAACAACAAGATTTTATATCAAATGTTTATTTATTAATATTCACGATTATCTCATTTTTTTAATAAAAAGAATGTAAATATTTATAGTTTCACCCATCATTTTCGATGTATGCAGAATGTATGCAGGAAAGAATTTCAAAATATTTAAATATTTCATTTTCGGCTTCGGTTTCGACTGAAAGTCATTTTTAACTCTCGGCCTTTTTTTCGGTTTCTGCCGAAAGTCATTTTTAAACTTTCGGCAAATTTTCGGTTTCGGCCGAAATCAGAAAATCACTTTCGGTTGGTCTCTACATTGAATGCACTTTTTTATGGTCCAAAAACTTATCTGTCCAGTGAATGTGTTTTATTTGAGGTGTGTGGCGGCAAAGTAACAATACGAATAAAGTTCTCTTTAGCAAGTAACAAATGGCTCATAGGATAGGTGGCTATCGTGATTATCTATGATTAACAAAGCAGGAAATGTTGATGAAGGACGAACATGCTTGTTAAATGTTTCAACTCTAAAATGAAATTGTCAGATGTCATCCATCCAGATTAACTTGTAAGTCCAAGTGTGCCCTCTGGTGCTCCGTAAAGTAAGCAGTCTCTAAGTTTCTTCCTTGGAAAAACAAAGACAGGAGGTAAGAACTGACCTGATGCACAAACTATCGCACACATATTCACTAACTCACCTCTCTCTCTAGAAGCCACTTGTCCAACCTGTTTCAAGCCTTTAGGGGCAAGAACTTTAGGAGCTCTTTTTATAGTAGTTTAGCCTGTCTCATCTAAGTTGTAAATTTGTCCACCACACAAATTATTAGCACAAATGGCTGCTTCTAGATATTTAAAAAGTATCTCAATGTTGAGTGGGTTAAAGGCGGTTGCTCTTGCCAGTGAAGTTGATTCCGTTTGATGCAGTGATAATTGAGGATGCCTCTGTCGAAAGCCATAAAGCCCATCTTTACCAGCAGCTTTCTTATAATGCCATGATTCGGGTACTTTTATTGTGTTAACTATGGTCATCTCGTTGGCTAATAATTTCACACTGGCTAATGCCAGCCCATAAAACATTTTTTGAACATGCTAAATGTAATTCGCAATCATTTTCTCTTGGTCAGCTGTGAATGCCTTGGCATGTTTGTAATTGGGTTCTAATTGGTGCGTACGGACAGATTTTTTAAAGATTGTTATTCAAAGTTGTGCTTAATATTCCGAATTGTGTACCAGCTGCATGTATCGCCCCCCCTCCCCCCCTTTTTTTAATGACATCAATTGCATTTCGCATAACTTCCAAGGGTATTTGACCCTTGTCTGATTTTCTTGTGTATTTTCTAGGCATGATTCTTCAAGAAAAAGAAATATTACGTTTTGCTACAATAAATCATGAGTGATATTTCTATATCTAAATTGCATGTTAATTAACTTAATATATTAATACGTTTTAATTACTTCAAGAGTATGCAGTAATGAAGCATAATGAAAATTAAGAGTGGGGAGAAATAGTTTGTGTTTATTTAAGAAAACACAAATTTCGTAGGGCTAAGTTAAGGGAAATTAAAAAATTATTCAAAGTAAAAAAAAACTCATTCTAATTAAGTCTTTGTTTGTTTCCTTATATGTTTTAATTGTTAATTGTTATTTTTTTAAAATTTTATATTGAACGACTTTCTGTTCAATTAAACAGCTATGATGCAACTTTCTTGTTTCTAAAATAAGAGTTCGAAGTAGTGAAGGTTCTCATTTTGTAGTTAATGCAAAGGTAGCAATGGTTCTCTTTTTGATTTAATAACAATTTCATACAGGTTCTCCTGCTGTAGCTAAAATAAATTTGGAAATTGTTCAAAATTTTAGTTATTGGTCCTCATACTGTAGCTAACGCAAAGGCGGTATAGGTTCTCATTGCTATTTAATAAAATGTTAGGAAAGATCCTCCTGCTATAGTCAATAAAAAAGTAATAATGATTGTACTGCGAAAGCTTAAAAAAAAAAATAGATGTTAAAGATTGTCCTGGATTTTTCCCCATGTTTCAGGCGTTACGTGCCGCTCCATGGTTGAGCTCTCAAGTCTCTCGTTAGACGGTCAATAAATAAGAGGCTTGAAGCCATCGTCTTATTTTAGATGGACCGGCGCCGTGTTTAAAGCGATGAAACTTAAACACTTATGTCCCGTTATAATCAATTTATCAATAGGTTTTGAAATTTTAAAAACAAATACAATTGTAGAAAATAAAATAAAGGGAAATAAAAAAAGAGAAAGATGTAAAACAAGTTTGCAATCACAGACTTTTATTATTTTTAAAATATGTGTGCTTTAAAAAGATGTTAATCAAAATAGTTCCCTTAAAATGTAGAAAAAAAAATGTCATTGTTGAACATGATACTCATCTTCATATCAGTAAATCTTGTTCCGATCTCCCAGTACTTGTTTTTAAAGTATCAGTCAGTAAGTAGTTTTAAAAGACTAATTTCAACGTGATGTCGATGTTTTTTTGTTTTGTTTTTTTTTAAACATAAATTAAAAATAAATATCATTGATATTTCGCTGCATATTTTCAAAACATGATGAGAAAAAAAAAATAAGCTAAAAGTATGCCATAAAAAATAGGCGACATAGAAATAGAAATATTTACGATGTAAAAATTTAGCAGGTTAACACTTCTTGAGCATGACGGCTAACGGTTCTTTCAGAAGTGAGCCGCGCCGAGTACTGTAACCAGGCTGGCAGCTACGAACTTGTGGTTTGCCTTGCTGGTCGGTGCAATGCCTGTACTCCATCTTCTGCGGTTTATTTTGTTGGCTAAAGCATAAAAATAACTTAAGCTTTATAAACTTTTATAGTCTTATGACTGAAAGCAGAAAAAAATTACAGCACATTTATGACTATTAACTTAAAGACACGTGTTGCAATTATATTCAATTCAGTTAAGGCGTTGGAACAATGAGACGTGTTCAAAGGGGACTCGACCTAGCGAATCATGAAGGGTATGCAAGCATGACACGATGTAATTTACAATGGGAGGTGTAGGGTGATTTGAGACCGTGAAATGGCCATTATACGTCTGACGCTTAATGACATCATGATGAAATGAACAATGGCGGTTTTTTGTTGTTGTTTTTTTTTGTTGTTTTTTTTTGTAGCGAGATTCAGCGCGGTTAAAGATGTAAGGTGTAGCGCTAGAAGACGGAGTGATGAACGATAGCAGATAGAACTATCACATGATCCAATGGGAGGCTTGTTGGTTAGGAGACAACGTGATGGAATGAACATTGGTAATGTCTGCGTCATGTGACGGCATGATAAACAATGGCAGAAATGACGTAAGAAGAGAGAAACAATGTGATATAGCGAAATAATCTTGACAGGGCCCTTAAATGAACAATGGGAGTATGATGCTATGAGTCCATGTGATGATGAAAGGTGGGGGGGGGGTATGGATTTAGGTATGCTAAGCAGCATGAAACGAAAAGTGGGGGACATCACGTTATGAGTCAATGTCGGGAATGGATTTGGGAGAAAACGGCATGACATAATCAATGGGGGTTTGTCGTCAGGAGACACCTAAATGAAGATAGGAGCATATAAAGCGTTGTATGAAATAATGAACAAAACAACAAGCTATGGCGTTGTGAGACACATTGAGTAACAATGTCAGGTGTGGCGTTATGAGACACATTGAGTAATAATGTCAGGTATGGCGTTATGAGACACATTGAGTAATAATGTCAGGTATGGCGTTATGAGACACATAGAGCAACAATGTCAGGTATGGCATTATGAGACACATAGAGCAACAATGTCAGGTATGGCATTATAAGACACATTGAGTAACAATGTCAGGTATGGCGTTATGAGACACATAGAGCAACAATGTCAGGTATGGCATTATGAGACACATTGAGTAACAATGTCAGGTATGGCGTTAAGAGACACATAGAGCAACAATGTCAGGTATGGCATTATGAGACATATTGAGTAACAATGTCAGGTATGGCGTTATGAGACACATCGAGCAACAATGTCAGGTATGGCATTATGAGACATATTGAGTAACAATGTCAGGTATGGCGTTATGAGACACATTGAGTAACAATGTCAGGTATGGCGTTATGAGACACATAGAGCAACAATGTCAGGTATGGCATTATGAGACACATTGAGTAACAATGTCAGGTATGGCGTTATGAGACACATTGAGCAACAATGTCAGGTATGGCATTATGAGACACATTGAGCAACAATGTCAGGTATGGCATTATGAGACACATTGAGTAACAATGTAAAGTTTCGCATTATGAGACACATTGAGTAACAATGTAAGATATTGCGTTATGAGACACATTGAGTAACAATGTCAGATTTGGCGTTATGAGATACACTTAGTAACAATTTAAGGTATGGCGTTATGAGACACATTGAGTAACAAATGTAAGGTTTGGCGAAATGAGACACATTGAGTAACAATGACAGATTTGGCGTTATGAGATACACTTAGTAACAATTTAAGGTATGGCGTTATGAGACACATTTAGTAACAAATGTAAGGTTTGGCGAAATGAGACACATTGAGTAACAATGACAGATTTGGCGTTATGAGATACACTTAGTAACAATTTAAGGTATGGCGTTATGAGACACATTTAGTAACAAATGTAAGGTTTGGCGAAATGAGACACATTGAGTAACAATGACAGATTTGGCGTTATGAGATACACTTAGTAACAATTTAAGGTATGGCGTTATGAGACACATTTAGTAACAAATGTAAGAGGGCGGGGGGGGGGGGGGTAATGCGTTTAGACACAGCGTGATGACATGAACAATGTTTAACTTTAACATCAGGACACAGTGTGTAAAAAAAAAAGCGAAAAAAAAAAAGAAGCAGGTTTAGAGTTAGGACTCCGCGAGATTAACAATAGGAGACACGGCGATGGAAGTTACCACGATGTCCAAGGTGAAGTGTTGCAATAATAAACATCCTGATGAGCATTGGGCTGTATGACGTTGAGAGACGCGATCTTTTAATTGAAGTTAGGAAATCTGTTGACATGAGGTGTTGTGATGATCAGTGATGGATACGGTGATAGGCGACAGAGTTATGAAGACCGTGGAGATACCACATTGCCATGCAACGTTTTCAAATGGACACGAACGTTGGACACGAACATGTCATGAAAAGTACAATGAGCGTTATGGCGTTATGAAATAAACCGTGATTGTGGCAATCTTGTGAAATTTTTTTAAAGGTCTTCTTCTATCTCATGCTTAGCGCTTGCTTCTTGTTTTGTCATCAGAACGTGGTGCATTATTGGTATAATTGGTTTGTACCATTCCGTCACTTGTTTTAATGTTGTGTTTCAATAGCTCGCATCATCACCCCTAAGGCGAGACGTGCAATTTGCATTAACTAGAATACGAATAAATGTTGAATCTATTCACCTTCGACTCTAGCTGAAGCTCCCTCTTTCAGGTTCTCACGTTCAGAGTCTGCCTCTGGCTCACACTTAAAACCTCCGAAGCAATTTGTCAGTTCTTCGTTCCTTTTTCTGGAAAACATAAAAGTTGACTTTCGTCATGCATCCCTTGAAAATAACGTTAGATGATTGTATAGCTGTGATGCCGATCGAAACGTAAAGACTTAATAGTTTTAGTAGTATATTGTGTAATATAAACTAACAATATTTGGGCTATAACTCCATCTATTGAGATATTTAAACTGCATCCGATTCACCTTAAATAACCCCCTGCCTACATAATGCAATAAACACACGCATTTTAAATTTGAGATTCATTGGTTCCCACACGTGATCCTATTTTTGAAGTTACTAGTTACGTAGACAAATATTTTAAATAGAAGTGTAAAAGATAACATATTAATGTATATTTCAGTACATTATGTTTGAGTGCTCAGTAGAGTATGGTTGAATGCAATCACAACCTAGTCATGTTCAACAACCATTAACTCATGTTCAATCATAATCTACTCCCGTATAGCTATCAACCAATCGTGTTTAACTACCATCTAATCTACGAAAACTGGAAAGGAACGTGCGGACGCCACTGTAACGCAACTTCAAACGAGAGAGAGGTCTGAGGCTCTTGGAATTCGCCAGCCTCAACGAACTCATACTGGCCAACACATTAGGTGCACATAAAATGTCCAGGAAAACCACAGGGCACAGCCCCAGTGGAAAACACCACAACCAGACTGTCAACATCATGTTGCAAACACGCTTCCGGTCTAGTATAAACATTGCCAAGACTCGAAGCTTCCCTGGGGTTGACATTGGAAGCGACCACGACCTGGTCATGATGACCTTTAGGCTGCACTTAAAGAGGGTAAACAAAAAAGGAAATACCAGAATCAAATTCGACCTTGAAAAGTTGAGGGATCCCAAAGTAGCAGAAGCCTTCCAGGCAATAATAGTAGGAAAATTTGTAGCGCAAAACATCATAGATGCCGACTGTTCAGACATGGACACATGTAATTGATAACTTCAACACAGCTGTGACGGACACAGCTCACGACATCCTCAGTAAACATCGACCAACCCGAAAACCATGGTTGACAGCTGACATACTTGATCTGTGTGATAAACGGATGCAGTTAAAGAAAACACAAATGGTAGATACAGAGGAGGCCATTAAATATACGATAGTTAACCAAGCCACCAAAAAACGTATGAAAAGGGCAAAGGAGAACTGGATTGAAGGGTAATGCTACAACATTGAAAACTGCTTAAAGAAGAAAAATAGCAAAAAAGCTTACCAGTTGGTGAAAGAACTAACCACTGCAAAACAAGGGCGTAGTATAACCATACAGGATAAAAATGGTAAATGTTTGACCGAGGAAAATAATATCATAACACGATGGACTGAATACTGTTCAGAGCTGTATAATGAAAATATAAAGATAGACCCAGAGATCCTTAATGTCCCTCCAGCAACAGACAATGATAACTACCCTATTCTCCGCGCAGAAGTAGAAACAGCAGTCTAAGCACTCCAAACAGGAAAGGCCGCAGGAGTGGATAATATCCCTGCCGAATTATTGAAACAAGGAGGAGAAGCAATGATAAGTGCCCTATTCAATATTTGTAACAAAATCTGGCTTACCGGAGAATGGACCAAACCATGGACCCTATCGCTCATCGTCACCCTCCCCAAAAAAGGTAACCTACAGCAATGCCAAAACTATCGCACCATTAGCCTAATAAGCCATCCAAGCAAGGTCATGCTGAAGGTCATATTGAACCGACTAAAACCATATGCCGACAGAATCATTGCTGAAGAACAGGCGGGCTTCAGACAAGGACGGGGCACTACTGAGCAGATTCTAAATTTCCGAATAGTATGTGAGAAATATGCTCAACACTACCAAAACCTATACCACGTCTTTGTTGACTTCAAGAAAGTATTCGACAGGGTTTGGCATGCTGCTTTATGGTCCACCATGAGGCACTAAAACATCAACACAAACCTAACCAGAATGATATGCAGCCTCTATAAGGCCACCCGTGCAGTTTTCTTCAATAACAACATCGGAGAATGGTTCAAGACCACGGTTGGAGCACGACAATGCTACCTGCTCTCCCCCACCCTGTTCAATATCTTCCTAGAGAGAATTATGTCAGATGCTCTGGAAGCGCATGAAGGGACAGTCAGCATTGTTGGCAGAACAATCACCAACCTACGCTTTGCGGACGACATAGACGGAGTGGCTGGGAACTAAGAAGAGCTAACCAGCCTGTTAAGGCTTCTCGACAAGACCTTGTCGTCCAACAGCACTAAAGAGGCTCAAGAAAATATGGAAGGAATAAAAATATAGCCACCAGCACTAAAATCAGGCTGATGCGCTCATTAGTCTTCTCCATTTTCCTGTATGCCTGCGAATTCTGGACATTGACAGCAGATCTTGAAAGGAAAATAAAGACGATGGAGATGAGATGCTTCAGAAGCATTTTTGACATCTGCTATAGGAACCATATCTCAAATGATACAGTGAAAGAAAGGGTTTGCCAGGAAATAGGGGAGTACGATGACCTAATGGTTTTGTTTAAAAAAACTCAAACTACAATTGTACGGTCACGTAACAAGGAAACAAGGGCTTGCCAAAGAAATATTGCAGGGCACCACAAGAGGAGAGAGAAGAAGAGGAAGACAAAGAAAAAGGTGGGCAGATAACAATCAACGAGTGGACAGGACTAACACTGGGCGATGATGTGCGTAGTGCAGAAGACAGAGACGAATGGGGGATAGTTCATATGTCATATGTGACGCCCCAAAGGTCCAAGGACAATGGAACATGATGACGATGATGATGATGAATGTTTATTAACTACCATCTACTTTTGTTCAACCACAATCTGCTATTATTAAACTACGACTTAATCATGTTCAACCACCATCAACTCTAGCTTAATTACTATCTCATCTTGTTGAACCACCATCTTCTCATCTTCAAACATCATATAACCTTGTTGTGACACGATCTAATCATCTTAAACCACTATCTAACAATAACTTTAGAGTAATTCTATAACCAAGAACATTACACTTCATCCTCCTCCTCAAATGCCACTTTCTTGCACTCTTCGATTCTCTCATAGCAGTTTGCCACCACATCCTGGCACAGAACTGTTGTCACTGTGAAGACGAAGAGCGAGTTAACCCTTGAGAAACAAATTTATGTTTTCTTGCACTTTATGCTTTCAAATAAAATGGCGAGTCATTCAAACAGAATATGTTTGATTCAATGGTTTATTTGAATATTTCTTTACACTAAATCCATTTGAATGGGGACTCAGTAATATAATTCACATAATGCCCAGATATCTGATGTCGCATATTTTACAGTTAAAAATCAACTTGCATTGTGCGTTAAGCGTCAGAGCGTAATGCAATTATTGCACGGCCATATTAATAATATTAACGACGATATTATTATTTGTTTTTTTTATTAATTTAAGTGTTTCTGTACATTCGGTAAAAAGTGATTTCTTTGACCAAAAAAAGCTAAATTCTAAATGGATAGATGATGGAACTTAAAGCAGTGGTATTTAAAGCTAAAGAATTGATCGACAAAGGAGAAACTAAGAACACTTGACGCTGAGAGGTCCATAGTAATAAAGTTTGGAATGAGTTACAGACGAGAGGGAAAGGCTCTGAAGTAAATACCACTCTCCGCTTGAAAAGATGTTGAAAAGGATAAACGAAGAAGACGATCACAATGGTCTCGGCAATTGCTTCCTCAGCACTACGCACCAAATGCACACAATACAACGCACGTAGAATAAATACCACTCCGAATTGGTTGATGAATGAAGTGCCATCAGAAATTGTTATTATTGATTATGCACGTCTTCCTGTATTTTATAGGCACAACGCTGTGGCAGATGCGTCAGCAAGCTATATTTATTAGGCGCCAATCAATCATTCAATAACAGTACCCACCTGTTAAGCATGAGATTGTCAGAAAGCCCCACAGACTCATTGAATGCATCCTGCTGTTGAATTGAGTCCAAACTCGTCGATGATAACAAGATGTCTAGGGTGTGTGGTGCGCTTGGTCAGATGTTTAACGCAAACCTAATTTTTATGAAATATTGTTAGAAAAATAAATATCAAATGTTCTTGTCTTTTTTTTTTTTTTTTTTTTTTTTTAGTTATTTTAAATTTTACCAATCATAACAAAAAACAAAACAAAAAAAAAAACAAAAAAAAAAATAAAATTAAAAAAAAAAAAAAAAAAACAATTAAAAAGTAAAAAATTTTTTTTTTTTTTTTTTTTTTTTTTTTTTTTAGCTATTATAAATTTTAGCACTCATAACATAAAACGAAACGAAACAAAGAACAACAAGAATAATAGAATTTAAAAAATAAAATAAAATATGATTAAAACGTATAAAGAGATAGATATTTTGATTTAACAAAGTGTTTTTAATTGCCTTGTTTCATTCTTTGTTTCATGGAAATAAAAATCCATGTTTACTTTGAGATATCACGTCAAACATTAACTATTTCTTAAAATCTAAGTACAAGGTAGGCAAAACTTGATTTCATAGACAGGACATACGATTAGGACGTCTCGGCTTAGAGCCTTCATCAGCAAACATATTGTTTCAATTAGCATACTTTGTTCTTATATTTCATTTACACAACTTGGATGCATCCATCAATGGCTATTTCTTATACGGATAGTTTCCTAGCTTTTTTTGCTGTGACTTTTAAACAAAAAATCGTTATATGTATCGGGAGTTCACTCTAAACTCTAAAGGGATTTAATGTATCACGGTCCATGCCGTGTTCATGTAAATAAAGTTTACCCCAGTTTTAACTTTACTAGAGATCAGAATCTACTAATAGTACAACATGCTTTTCTTTAATACTTAACCACTTAGTTGATGTCGAGTGGCCAATTATATATCTAACACTTAATGGAACAATGTTATGTAGTTTGTCTTTTGTTTTGAGCAAGGACAGAAAGAAACGGAAGTTTCGAAATGCGCTAAATAACTTTGATTGCGTCATTGTTCTATGTGTATTTCTTTTGCATAACTACGATACTGATTTTTTTTTCTTTTAAATTAATCTGCTCGGGATGCCTAAGTTCTCACTTGCAGGATCCCTACAAAACCTAACGATAGCCTATTGTCTCATACCCTACCCCCATCAGCTCAACCAAACCCGATGACTTCAAGCATCCCGGAATACATCATGGGTGTGTGTGCTGGCTTTTAATTAAAACAAACGCCTTGTTAATATTCCCTACAACATATATATTCCCTACAACATATATATTCCCTAAACTTTTATATAATTGCCATTGTTGCAAAACAAATTCCTACATCTGCTTTTATTCTCTTGATATTGTTGCCAATAAAAATCCCTACAACTGCTTGTATTCTATTGCTATTGTTGCCAATACACATTCATAAACGCATAGTCAATTTAATACCGGCATATCAAATATGTACACAGATATTCAGCACGTAGACCTAGTCCTCCGATTTGCTTTTTACTGGATGAGAAAAGGTCTTAAGCAAGCTCACAATGCACTGACTTTTCAGTCATGAGCTAAAATTTATGACTATTACAATGCAACTACCACTGGTAACGAACCAAAGCTTGTAAATCGTGTACAAAAGGACATCTGTACATACACATTAATGAAATGGAAATCAAATAGTTTGTGCTATATTTTATAATAATTGCTAGTATAACTTATTAAACATCAAATGTACATGGATTGGAAAGATAAAAATGTTTCAATTAAGGTATTAATCTGTCATTATGTGTACTGAAATAATGTGGTTAATTATGTTTTGTATTTAACATCCAAAAGTACTTCATGTAATGTTTGTGAAAACATGACTTAAGTCTGTGATGCCATATATTTCCCCTGTAATGAGCAAGTAATTATTAGACTAATTGTAAGTGCTGTTTCTTGTTTTTCGATTCTGGTATTGTTTATATTTTTATGGCTCAGTCTTTAAGCTAAAACAAAAGTAAAAAATAACACACTCAACGAGATTCTGTTTGCAGACGATTGTGCACTCAAAGCTGCCTCAGAAGCCATCATTCAAGACAGCATTGATATCTTCTCTGAGGCCAGCAATTACGTTGGCCTCACAATCAACACAAAGATGTTTCAGCCAGCTTCCAGAAAGTCCTACGTTGAACCCAACCATATCATCAGCCGACAGCATCTCACCCCGATGGATAAATTTAGTTACTTGGGCAACAACCTCTCCAGATCTGTCGTAGTGGACGATGAAATGAATGCCAGACTCGCAAAAGCTAGTGCCATATTTGACAGGCTCCGCAGCACTGTTTGGACATGAGAGATATCAGAGGAGAAACGAAGATCAAGGACTATATCGCAGGGTCCTCTTTGACATTGCTCTACGGATGTGAAACATGGACAGTCTACCACCGTCACACCAAGAAACTGAACCATCTTCACACAGCTTGCTTCAGGAAACGCCTTGGCATCGGGTGGCAAGACAAAGTTCCTGACACAGAGGTCCTCGCTAGAGCAAACCGACCTAGTATGTTCACCACCCTGATGCAGTCTCAAGTCCGTTGGATGGGACACGTAGCTGATATGGAAGACCACCAGATCCGTAAACAGATATTCTTCGGAGAACTGAAGACAGGCAAGCACTCCCAAGGAGGTAAAAAAAGCGTTACAAAGACTCACTGAAAGCGGCACTAAAAGTCTTCAGCATCAACCCTACTCAATGGGTGCAGACAGCCTAGGATAGAGCGAGGTGGAGAGCAGTCAAGTAGAGGCAAAATCCCATGAAGCCAGTAGGATAGCCACAGCAGAGACACGCAGGCTGGCCCGAAAGAGCAACATTACATCATCGTCTCCAGGACTAGCCCCTGCCCTTAGTGCCAGAGATTATTCCGAGCACGGATCGGTCTAGCAAGCCACCTACGAGCTAACCGTAACACCCCCCCCCAACCTAATCGGATAACTCAAAGTTCCTAGTCGATTTTGACATTTTGACGGACGATAAACAACATGTCTCCGTCTGATTATCTACTGTGTGAGTTATACCTGCTTGTAGGATTTGTTTAAGTGTATGCTTCATCAGCTTCAAAGTTCCTCAGTGCAATATAAACAATCCTTCTTCCCACGCACAATAATAGCATAGAACCACCTGAACAATGCCACTGTGAGCTCGACATCGGTCGAAATTTTCAAGCCTGCCCTGGCATCGGCTAGGAGATGTTAGAATAGCAACATAATACCCCCAACCATTGCAAAAATGCCAGTACATTGATGCAGCAATGAACACTACCAGAAACAGAACCAGAAGTGTAAATTTAGTCTGTTAAATAGAGTTGCATGTGAGATATCAATGTTGTTCTTTTTTCATCAGCCCCTGTCCTGAAGAGTGGACATTCTGCGTGCCCTATTCTGTCCTTGTATGGTCTTATGAGACTGGTCTTCTCTTGTAATTAACATAAAGTTAGTAAATAACGCTAAGAAGTAACGCTTCTTCCAAATTAGCTAATACAAAGTAAGTAACATCTCTCCTGCATTAGCTAATACAAAGGAAGTAACATCTCTCCTGCATTAGCTAATACAAAGGAAGTAACATCTCTCCTGCATTAGCTAATACAAAGGAAGTAACATCTCTCCTGCATTAGCTAATACAAAGGAAGTAACATCTCTCCTGCATTAGCTAATACAAAGGAAGTAACATCTCTCATGCATTAGCTAATACAAAGGGAGTAACATCTCTCCTGCATTAGCTAATACAAAGGAAGTAACATCTCTCATGCATTAGCTAATACAAAGGAAGTAACATCTCTCCTGCATTAGCTAATACAAAGGGAGTAACATCTCTCCTGCATTAGCCAATACAAAGGAAGTAACATCTCTCATGCATTAGCTAATACAAAGGAAGTAACATCTCTCATGCATTAGCTAATACAAAGGAAGTAACATCTCTCATGCATTAGCTAATACAAAGGAAGTAACATTTCTCCTGCATTAGCTAATACAAAGGGAGTAACATCTCTCATGCATTAGCTAATACAAAGGAACTAACATCTCTCCTGTATTAGCTAATACAAAGGGAGTAACATCTCTCCTGCATTAGCTAATACAAAGGAAGTAACATCTCTCATGCATTAGCTAATACAAAGGAAGTAACATCTCTCATGCATTAGCTAATACAAAAGAAGTAACGTTTCTCCAGCATTCGGCTGGGCTTTTAAGTGTCATGGTAGGGAGTCAATAACAAAAATAATAACCTCATGTGTCTTATGTGGGTGTACTGTTGCCATGTTTAAAACATTTGAAACACAGTCATGTCCGCTCATGATTAAACAATAATTCAACTTTTATTTCAAAATATTATTTTGAACTCACACAGTGAATCACTTAACCCTGCCCACTTTCAAACGTTCAGTGAGTAATTATATTATATTTAGCCACATATTAAGGATTCCTATCCAAGTCCTTGATGTAATACAATCAATGAGCACAAACAGCATTAAAATATCTGAAAACTTTTTAAATTTAAAAAAAAAAAAGATTTTTGATCCACTGTGCCCCGAGTCCCCTTATATTATTATTGTTATTGAACCACTGTAAATGAAATTTGTGAATGTACACAACGGTACAGTCAAGTTTAACCTATGAGTTTGATAAAATGTAACTATTTGTAAGAATAAAATAAATTATATATACATTTGAAATATATATATATCTATATATATATATATATATATATATATATATATATATATATATATATATATAAATATATATATATATATTATATAAAACATATATTATAAACTTGTAACAAATATATATATTTAAAATATATATATATCTATATATATATATATATATATATATATATATATATATAAATATATGTATATAAATATATGTATATATATTATATAAAGCCTATATTATAAACTTGTAACAGACATTAATTTGATGCAATAAAAAGCATAAGCCATAGTATGCTATTGCAAATTTAAATGTTATGCTTTAAAAAAAATTAAGAAGAAAAGAAAGAACATAAGCATCATTTATTTTATCAGGCCTATCTTTCATTTTATATAATTTGAAATGAATGGATTTTTCAAACAGTGGGTTGTACAGCATTTGGGATTTTACCATAAAATTGGTAAAAGTACCCTTACCAGTACCAAGATTATCCCAGAAACATGAATGGCCAAATCATCTGCACTTGAAAGTCTTATGCTGCTGAGTTATGTGTTTTAATAACAATATACAAACATTCAATGACAAAATAAAAAATAATAAAATTATTGAACAATTTTTATTAATAAATGTATTGGGCAAATTATAATATAAATAGAATATGATTTAATAATATTGTGAAAAAATATAAATAATATCAATGTCTGAGGCAACATGGTTTAATCAATTTAAACAACTTAGTAAATAATTTATATATTCAATTATATGTAATAAAAACTAAATAAAAATTTAAAATTGTAATTAATAAAATTTAATGCCATAAGTTTATTCATTAAGTAGGTGAACCCACATAATTTATTTGACAAGGATACTTGTGGCAATATGCTAAAATAATTTAATTATTGTAGAGATTTTGTGTGCCCAACTACCTTTACATTATATATTGTGTAATTATTTTGTTACTTCCTAAAGCATCTTATCTGTAATAATGCAAACACTTGCATTAAAAAAAATTTTTTATTCTTAACAAACCCTTTGCTATAAATATCATGCTTGTACCATAATTATTTCATGACAGATTTGAAAGTATCAAGTCAGTGCTACCAGTAAAAATGCAAAACTGATATAAGGGGTAAATGTTATTTCTGCAGGATTTTTTTTTACAAACATAATAATATATTGTTATATGTTACTGTTGCTAAGAAGGGAATATAAAGCAAAAAATTGAAAGTAATCAACAATCAACCTTTCAACTAATAACTTAATAAATTAGTAATTCACTAAATAAAAGTTTTAAAAAACATTAAATTAATTATTTAAATATAGTTAATTAAACCCACTGATTTTTATTTTTAATTGAATTACAATAATTATAAGTTCAATTTTTTTAGTGAAGAATTTATATTTCCCGTCCTTTTTATCCTCAAAATCAATATTAATGTTGTATGGATTTCATACTATGCTCTATTAACTAAGTCTTCATCTGCTATTTAGTCTAATGATCTCTCTACAAAATTGGCCAAAATTTTGGTTGTCTGTAATTCTCATTTCCTTACTATTTGATCCTTATAATCTTTCAAATAAACAGTCTAATGCTGTAGAACACTTAGAAAGTGTGTCAGCAGGGGTAATCTCACATTTTTTTTTTACTACACTGCTTTTTAATAGATTTTGGCGTGCTGGTTAATTTCGAAATAGATTGATTTGAATTCCCTAAATAATAATTAGTTACTGTCTGCTAAAGGGAAACATTCTCTTTATCCTGTAAAAGAATATCTTGCTCCAATGAATCGAGAAAGGAGTCACTGGTTATGAAATAATGATCTAACATGCTGACAAGATCAAATTCAAAGCTGGTGCTTTGGGACAGAGCATTTCGTTTATATAAAAAAAAAATTTGACATTTTTAAATTATCAATAAAAATTATCTGAATTAACAGTTAACTACATCATATTTATTATAAATTAGTGCATGTGAATTTGTATTTTCCAGGTAGGCCTACAAACTGATTCAGAAACTTGGAAAATTGTTGCTAATACATTTCAAGACGGATGGAACTTTCCACACTGTATTTGGAGCCTTAGATGAAAATCACATTGCCATTAGAAGGCCTCTCCATATACAATCACAATATTATAATTTTTAAAAAAAATTGCATTATTTTGTTAACTCTAGTTAATGACAGTGAAATAAAGTGTTAGAGGGAAATGAATAAAATACTTCACGCTTAACGAAACATAAATTTCCTTCATTTTGTTATATATCACATGTATGCTTAAATGAATATGTACAGAAACTAGAAAGAAGATTTCTTTTCAATGTATTGTAATACAATATAAAAATATTTTAAATGCAAACATTTATTTCATTTGATATTTCATTATTCAAATAATAAGCATTGCTCTGAGTATTCTAGGGTATTTTTTGTTGATGAAATATATCATCTTTAAGGAAATATTTTGTAATTGCTAGCATGGAGAGCTCTGTTTAAGAATAATGTAAACATGGTCATAGATTATTAATTTTTTGTATATAACAAATATTCATAGGAAATAGGCGTATTTATTCATTACAATTTTGTGTTATTCTTTACTTTATTCTTGTATTGACCTCAATTTAATGTTCATATAATTTATTTATTTTGTTATACATTTAACATGTTATTATTGAGATACTGCTTTGCAAATACAATCGGGTGCCAGATAAGCATCAATCAAATCAAACAACCACCAATTTGAAATAAAAACATCCCCAGTGCCTGCACCACCATTGCTTGTCATCTCCTACTACCTTCTTTCCCTAGAGAAGGATGTTTTGATGCTGTTCAATTTTGATTTCACTTTTTCTTCTGAAATAAAACAGACACAAAACAGATATTAGCAAATTTTTATAATATATTTAAAAATTATTATTATTGGTGGTGGTAATAAATTTTTTATGGGTGTAAATGAGGCATGTATGATATATTATCTATTAGTAAAACTATATCACAATTATTTTTACTATCATGCCCAATACATATCTTCTTTTAAAAATTTAGTTCCACCCCCGCCTCTACACATTTGTCTTCACACATCCGGTCATAAATTCGTCACCTCCTTTCCTCACCATATAATGTTTGTCACTGTTTATAGATACTCACAAATCAATATAAAAAATTTTACATAAAACACCCCCATTGCATTACATAAAACACCACTCTATGCAACAAAGGAGCAGTTGATTTTTTTTTGTTTACTAACAAGGGCTTTTAAAAATCGTCTCTACAACTTAAAATTCTTATTGAATTTAAGAAATTAAAATGGACCTCTTTTTTTTATTAAATCATAATTTTTTTAAGTAAATTAATTCAACCAATCTGCATTTATCTCTGAAAAAACTGGCTATTTTCAAACAGCAAGTTCTGCCTGAAACAGGGTTTAACATTTTGATTCATCTATCACTTATTTTAAATCCATCAAATCATGTGTTTTCAATAAATAATTGAGTTTTACATTTACATGGTTAACCATATCATCATTTGAATTTTCTATTTTACAAATGTAGGTATATTTTAATATGATTTATGTGGGGTTTTTTTCTTGTTTTTTTTTTTTGTGTGTGTGCAGGCATCTGTCCATCCCAATGTGATGATGGTGTGGAATTTGCAGGACAAAATCCACAAGGCCTGTATTTATTCTTCTAGGATTAACCCAACAGCAAATCATTTTAATTTTCTTTTTTTCATATTTTGGTTTTTTTTTATATTATTTTTGTGGGGTTTTTTTTTTTTTTTTTTTTTTTTGTGTGTGTGCAGGCATCTGTCCATCCCAATGTGATGATGGTGTGGAATTTGCAGGACAAAATCCACAAGGCCTGTATTTATTCTTCTAGGATTAACCCAACAGCAAATCGCCTATCTCCACGCCACTGGATAAACCACATCATGATACAGTGGGGTCAGAGAGTGTCGGAATGTTTCATTGTGCTTAGGAGCATGTGATACTTGGAGGAAGCGGCAACCGTAACCTTTAGAAGTGCATGACTAAATGTAAGGGAAATAGGATAAGGATCACAACTCACGTTAACAAAAAAAAAAAAAAAAAAAAAAAAAAAAAAACACGGCAGAGGAAGAAATTATTTTGATAAACACCTTATCTAAATTTCCCAATTTCTTTACACCAGGATAAAAAAAAATTTCCTCCAACCCAGCCTACCGATATAAAATCGCTTTCATATTAATACATTACAAAAAAAATATAGTTTCTAGTTTATTTAAGATAATGATTCTTTACTGATTTATACATTTTTTAATTAAAAAAACAAACATATTTTACATAACATGAAATCAGTTAACGCAATTTATCAGAATCCCAATTTGTGCTCCCCTCTCAAGGTTCGCAACCGCACATTTGTTCACTCCCCTGAATTATGTTAATATTATTATAATGAACCACCTTCTTTTACAACGCATATTTAATTCATCAAATATTTCAAGGTATAAAAAAAAAAGAAAGAAAATATTACGCACCAGGCGAACATGCAATTTATTTGAAAGGCATCTCAAATAGCGCAGTTATCGGGAATATCTTTACGTGAAATCATGATCATATGTCCTTGATTTTCCCTTTGAAAACATGAAAAAAAAAAACTGAATTGTTGGGGTTTGGGAGTTGGGCTAAACATTTTTAAGAAATCGTTGTCATCGTCAACGAGTCAATGTGCCAAGGTGCCGTTCGAATATTTTGCCAGGCAGCCAGAAAGAAAAGCCAGGCACGAACAAAAGCGAAAGTTAATTTTGAAAAAGATTTTTTTAAAAAAAATTTTACATTTTTTTTTAAAAAGTTGCTAAATGACTTAATTAGTAGATTTTAAATGATAAATAACCTTATTTCAGTCAAATGAAATACACATCATTTGCAGTATTAATTTTTAGTTTATACAAATGTAGTAGTTTGGTAGTTTATATGAATAACGGCAAATGTTCAACCGATGTTAATATAAATTGTGCAAACTTTCTAATTTTTTTAGCTAAAATAAAGCTAGTAGTGGTTCCAGTGCTGTAGCTAATACAGGGGAGCTCATGTTTCTTATCCCTATTTAATAATAATAAAAAAAAGGTAGCGAAATATCTCCTGCTGTAGTTAATATAAGTAGTAAGTGTTTTTACAAAATCGTTAAAGGTTCTTATGGTGTAGCTGATACATGAAGGTAGACAATGTTCCCCGGCATTTAGCCGATGATGCACCCGTTACAAAACAGCCCAGTCACTCGGGAGGTAGTCAATAATAAGACACACCCATGAGTCCCAAGCAGTTGGACTCGTGCCGTGTTAGAAACAATGAAACTTAGTTGTGTACCGTCATGATTAAATTATAAACAGATTTTGAAATTCTACACCCATGAGTCCCAAGCAGATGGAGTCTTGCCGTGTTAAAAACAATAAAAATTAATTATGTACCGTCATGATTAAATTATAAACAGATTTTGAAATTCTACACCCATGAGTCCCAAGCAGATGGACTCTTGCCGTGTTAAAACAATGAAAATTAATTATGTACCGTCATGATTAAATTATAAATAGATTTTGAAATTTAAAAAAATCAAAATAAAATGAAATAATGGAGATTAACACTTTCAAATAAGTTTGCAATCACATTTTTTTATTACTTTTAATATAATTATGATTGATTAAGATGTTCCTACAAATGTACTTCTCAAGATGTAGATAAATTGAATTGTTTGACATATATGGCCCATTTTCATATAATTTAATCTGGTTTAACACTTTCATTTTTTAAAATTATTTTAAATAATTATTAAAAGGAATTGCAACATTGCAATGGGACGTTGTTTTTTTTAAATCCAACATAAATCCCATTGATATTTCTATTTAATACTTTAAAAAACATGCTAAGAAAATAATAATGTTGAAATTATGCCGTGAAAAGAAATTTAAACAGAAATATTAGCCATGTAAAAATTCAACCCCTAAACACATCTGGAGCGTGGCCGCTACTGGTTCTGTCAGAAGTGAGCCAAACTGAGTACTGTAACCAGACAGGCAGCCACGAACATGGAGTTCACCTTGTTGACCGGGGCAATACTTCCTTGTGAATAGCGGTAATATGGACGTGATCGATGGGCTTAACAATGAGAATAATATTAAATTGATAACCTTTCATAATTTTACGAATGAAGATGGAAAAAAAAGAATACATTTTAACAGTATTAACTTTAACATAAGTGTTCTACTAACTTACTGTTTAGTTCATTTGAGTAATAATATTGACATTTGGGGTAAGAGACGGTGTGACAGCAATTAGTGTTGAGGCGGTAAAAGAAGACGACAAAAAAATAAAAATTCAGAGCGATGGTGTTAGGAGCGCAATAATAAGACACTGTGAGGTATGGTGATTTGAGACACTCTAATGAACTCTATTAAATATGGTGCATGAGACAGTGCAATAAACGATAGGAGCTATTACGGCGGGTGACAGTGAAACGACCATTGGATGGTCTGTCGTTTAAAGACGTAATGAAATGAACAAAGGTGGTTTTAACAGTAAAAGACAGTGATGAAATGAAAAATGGTGGCTTTTGCAGTAAAAGGCAGTGATGAAATGAACAATGTTGTTTTTTGCAGTAAAAAACAGAGATGAAACGAACAATGGCAGGTTTTGCATTAAAAGACTGTGATAAAATGAACAATTTCGGTATTTGCAGTAAAAGACAGTGATTAAAAGAACAATGGTGGTTTTTGCAGCAAAAGATAGTGATGAAATGAACAATCGTGGTTAGCATGAAAAGACTGTGATGAAATGAACAATGGTGTTTTTTGAAGTAAAATAATGTGATAAAATGAAAAATGGCGGTATTTGCAGTAAAAGACAGTGATGAAATGAACAATGGTTTGTTTTTTTTTTTTTGCAG